GTTGGACCCTGGCCTTTTTTGGACTGATGCTATTGAGCTTCTCCACATCTCTTTACACAGATATAATGTATTTGGTTCCTGGGTGGTCCATCTGGGGAGGTCCACAGGCACAGATGCTGCTTATGTTTTTGAAAAAAAAAGGGTATTTGCAATGAATAAATCATTGGTCTTGTAAAATTCTATCGTGTGATCGCAAGCTTCAATTCTGTCACCAAGGCCCTCATTTCCAACGACTCATCTTTCCTCTTTGCTTCCAACGTTTGTGTTCCAATCACCAGTGATTGTCAGTGCACTGATATTTGACAGTCTTTTGACAGTATATCTGATCAATTTCAGACAGAAGTTGGTAGAATTCTTCAATTTCTTCCTCATTGGCTTTGGTGGTTGGTGCATAAATTTGGATAAATAGTTTTAGAAGCTGGTCTTCCTTGTAGGCGTGTAGATATGATTCTATCACTGACAGAATTGTACTTCAAGAAAGATCTTTGAATGGTCCTTTGGACCGTGAACGTGACTCCATTGCTCTTGATCTGTCACTCCTGTGTAGGAGACCTTGTTAGTATTGTTCACTTTGCAATGGCCCATGCTAGTCCATTTCAGTCCACTAATGTCTAGGACATTGATCTTTGTTTTTGAAGACTTCCGGTTGGTTGGTTGGTTTTTGTTTCGTACTTCGTACACGTCACGTTCCAGTTGTTGATAAGCGTTTGCAGCGCCTTCCTCTCGCTTTGAGTAGGGCCCATTAGCAAGCGACCATCAGGAGCATTGCTCCATCCATGTCATTGAGGGACACTCTACTTTGAGGAGGCAGCTCTTCCCCAGTCGTATTTTACTGCCTTCCAACCCGTTCCCAACCCGGGGCCAGTTTCTCGGCACTCTGCTAGACAATGTCCTGCTGCTGTCCACTGGCTTTCACAGGCTCGTCCCTCAGAAACAGACCGCCTGCTTCTTCCCAGGCTGTCTTAATCTGGAAGCACCGCGGAAGCCCATCCACCACCAGCGAGCCTGTGTGTGGTGTTTGAAACACTGGTGGCATACCTTCCAGCACACCAGCTGCTCACAAATCACCACGGTCTTCCAAGCTGACAGGCGAGGGTGGCCTCTGACATGAAGCTTCCATAGCATGGCACTGAGGTTCCTGTGCAGCTCAACGACCCATGGGTGGTGGGTGGTCCCAACCCACTCAATGGTGCTGTGGAAGAAAGGCCTAGCACCTGCTTCTGCAGAGGCTTCCTGACAAGAAAACCCTGTGGGGCATGCTTCCGCTCTGACACTCCCGGGGCTGCATGAGTCAGAATCAACACCAGGACAACGGGTCAGCCCGGGAGCTCAGGAGCAGCCTCTTGGGGAAGGTAACCTTGAGCTCTAAAGGAGAGCAGGAACCGGCAATAGAGAGATCTGGGGCGGCGGGGGGAGACCTTCTTGGGAGCAGGCAGAGCAGGTGCAAAGATCCTGAGGCCAGACAGGCTTGGCAGAGGAGAACAGAGGACCGGGGAAGTAAAGGATTTGGGTGACGTTGCTTTCAAAGTTTCCTCTAGCCGCCGTGGGACTCCCTCACTGGTTTTTCTCTCCAAGTAGCCAGGTAGCCAGGCATAGCAAGGAGATGGGCAGGAGGGAGGCGGCGACGGCAAACATCGGTACACAGGCTGATGGCCTGCACTTGTGGGCACCATGAGAGGTCACAGGCAGCGATGTCAGGGCTGGAGCCCCTGGGTTGTGCCCATGATTCCAGTGTTTGACTGCTCAAGCCCTCCCAGAGGGGCCTCAGAAGACACGCCTGGCGATCTGCTTCTACAGCACGGGCCGCTGAAGCCTCAATGGAGCACAGTGGACTATGGTGCTTACCGGGTCACAATGACTGGA